TGACGCCCTCCTGGAAGCCCCCTCAAAGGCTTCCCCTCTTCACTGGCTGCTCTGGAGTCCCAGCCCTCATGGGCGGGCTAGCTCCAGACCAGATGCCTTTCAATCTACTTCCCCCAAGTCGAAGTTCTCACAGGCTGGTAAATGCAGTGAGCTTATTTGCAAGCCAGGGTCATATCTGCCTAGCAACCCAACATGAAGACTAGGACTCAACATTGACAGAGAACAGGCAGGCCAACTCTGCACAAAGGAATTTGTTCTCATGCAAATGACCCTGAGCAAGATGGCTAGAAAGAGAGAGCAAAGGGGATCGCTCTCGGTAACCAATTTATTTCCCCGGGATGTTGAGGGACATTTGAAGGGCACGATGGTGGCCCTGCCCACCGTAAATGGAGGCCCGAGGGGCTCTCCCCACCACCCAGACACGACCCAAGAGGCTGGGAGGAGAGCTGAACCCTTCACTCAATTCCTGACTTTTCTGGTTCTGTGCTCCAGACTCCAAAGGTCCTTTGTTCCTATTTAGAACGAAACAGAGTTCGTTTTGTTTGGGGGGGGTTGATTAGCATGGCAATGCGGTGCGTTCCCTCTTTCTGCTCTCCCTAGAGAAGGGAAAAAAGCAGAGGTTTTCACGCTTGATCTCACTAAGTTTGAGGGAACAAGGTAAAGCCAGCCTCTACCCAGAGGGGGGCAGAAGTCACTGGTTTGTGGCTGACGAGACTGGGCAGAGGACGGTTTCCAGCCACCTCCCCATCAGCCCAAGGCCGGGGCAAACGTCCTCTTTGAATGAGTTCCAGTTGCAAAAGGAGCTGTGTGTTATGAAACCTGGGGTGAACCCCCCCCCCAGAGCATGACTCAACTTTTCTCATCTGTAAAATGGGGGTAATGCGTGTTGGCTGCAGAAGGTTGCTGATGGGATGACAATCAGGTCGCATGCATGCCACTTAATACGGCGGTTGGAACAAACCAAACGTGCAAATAATTCTTTGTAATTAAGGTAGTGAGGATATTCATTATAATACATCATTATCAACACCACCACCATCATCATGAGAGTTATGTCCCCCAAGCCCCCTACAGCCAGCAGTTTCAATGGGTCAAATCCTCAGATGTGACCGCCCAACCACTCAGTCACTTTGATGGTGTCTGCCAAGTGTTTTATTCTTTATTTTTAAATATTTATTTATTTATTTATTTATTTATTTATAGAAGCACTGGGTGCAGTCAGAAGCACGGGAGGGTGAGAGAATTCACCAGAGCCAGAGCAGGGAGCAGAGCAGGCAGAAGGACCGAAGTACACTGCTGAGGGGAGCAGCGGGCGGCAGGAGGGGTCTGCGCACCATGTGGGACCCTCCTCTGGTGGCCGGGGAGCAGCCGGGGATCGAACCGGTGCTGCAGAGGCTGCGGGCAGCTTCGCAACCCAGCGCTCAACCTCTGTGCCACCGGGGAGGCCCTGTCTGCCAAGTGTTTTAAATCGAGAAGCTGAAACACCAAGATTTTCTTGACTTGCTTAGAGTCACTGTGAGAGCTGCTAACTGCATCCTGGGCTCCTAAGCAGGACTGATACAGCCGCGCTGCTGGAATAGCTACGGTTCCATATGGAGCGCAGGGACAGGTCCTGTGCCCTGTAAGATCCCAAATGCCAAAGATGACACAGGGCACTCTGGGCATTGCTGTCCCCGAAGTGCCCACAGTCCTTTCTGAATACCATGATGTGGTGCTTCTTTGTGCAGGTCAGCAACTGGACTTAACAAGCCCCCCTCATCACCAGAGTAAGGCAGGGAGCGTGACCCCCACCCTGCAGGCATCCTGAAACAGACGCCTCGGTTCCGAGACTCACGACTCTCCTTTACAGATCTGGAAACTGACACTCTAGGAAGTGAAATGCCTCCCACAAGGTTGCAACCCTAATCAGCGTTCCCGGGCCGTCCAGCACTGGCTGTGACAGGGCACCTCACAGAACACACTCGCTTCCCACCTGTCCCCTCCCGGGGCTGGCACGGCCCAGAAGGGCACCCCGCCCGCGGGCGCTGTCCCCAGAAGAGGAGAGAACCAGGCAGTGAACAAGGGCGGGTTTTTGTTAAAATTCCGAGCGCAGCGTCCCCGCGGCGGCGGGGCTCCCCGCACACGCTCCCCAGCTGCGCGCCCCAGAGTTTCCGACGCGTTGTCCCCACCGGGCGCGGGGAGCAGCGGAGTCCACAGAGAGACGCGGGGATCAGGACTCCGAGCAGGTCCTCGACTGGCCGTGCGCACGCGAGACGGAGACCGGGAAGCCAAGTCTGAGCGCCCTGGGGCTCCGGCATACCTGGGGTCCCGCTTTGTCCCCAGGGCGCGCCGAAACAGGCTTCCCGCTCACCTGCTGAGTTCTCAGTGACCCTGGGGCCGGGGACCTGGGGAGGTGGGGCCCGGGCTCCCTAGATGTGCTGACCCCCCCTTCCTGGGGTCCGCCGGCCGCGCGGCAGCCGTGCACCTGCGTGGCGGGCGCGCGCCCCGGGCGGGGATGCTGACTCAGCCCCGGGCGCCCATCTCCGCGCGCGGCGGATGCAGGAGCCGCTGCCGCAGCCCAGGGGGGAGCCAGACACCCGGCGCCGCCGGGCCGGCACGCTCCCCGGGCTCCCCTGCGGCACCCCCCCCCACCGGAAAGGGAACTGTGGGGGTGCGCGAGTTGACGAAATTGGGGAAGTGGGTGCAGGAAGAGGAACTCGGGGTCCGCGGTGCCGCGCGCGCAGCTCACACCCAAACTGGCAGGAACCTGTTCCCCCCGGGGCGGGCGCCGAGCCGCCGCCGCCCGCAGCGCCGCGCGGGACCAGCCCCGGGGCGCCGCTCTCCGCGCCCCTCCCAAGCCCCCACATCCCCGGGGTGCGGGCGGGCCCGGGCGGTGGGCGCGCCGGGGGTCCGCGCGCAGGGAGGCGGGCCCGCGCGCCCCCGGCCGTGGGTGCTCCGCGAGCGGGTGCAGCGCCCCGAACACGCCCGTGGCCCCCACTTGCAAAGCGCAGCGGCCGGGCGCGCGGGGCTGCGCGCGGGGGCGGGCACGCGGCGGCGCGCCAAGGACCCCGGCGGCGCAGGCGGGGGCGGCGCCGGGGGACCCCGCGGCTGGCGGGGGGCAGCGACGCCGTTACCTTCCGTGACCCCGAGCCCGGGCCCGGCGCGGGCGCGCGCGCGGCGCGGCACCGATCCACGTGGGCCAGCGCGCGCGCGCCAGGCCGGCCCCCTCCTTGGCGGCGCTCGCAGCACATGGTCGGCGGCGGCGCGCCCCCGAGGCCGGCGGAGACCGGCTGCAGCCGGTATAGGATAAGAGACAGGCGGCACGGCGAGCCCCGGGCACCCGCGGCAGCACGCGCGGCCGGGGCGCAGGCGGCCGGGGCGGGGGGCGGGGGGAGGGTGTGGTCGGGGCGCCCGAGGCGAGGGAGCGGGTCGGGGCCGGCCCTGGGAGCCGCGGGCCCCGCGCCCGGGGCTCAGCCGCCCGAGCCAACTTGCGCTAGACGCGCGCCCGCGCCCGAAGGGGTTAAGCCTTTCTCGTGTTACCCAGAGGCTTATAAGGAGGGGGAAGCCCGGCCTCCGCCTTATTGGGAGCCTTTTGGGGTTTATTCTCTTCCCTTCTAACTTGGTGAGTCGCTTTTATTATTTTGCATGTTTAAAAGTTTGGTCGTGCCGGGTGGGGTGGTTGTTGCTGTTGTTGTTTTTTAATCTGTGTGGGGAGCTTGGGGGGCGGGAGGGGCTCGGGGGGGCGCAGGAGACAACTTAACATCTGAACCTTTTGGAGAGGTTTTCCCGGAAAAAAAAAATTCTGGGCATCGGGAGTGCTCGGGGCCGCCGGGGGACGCGCGCTCTCCAGGGCGGGCCGCTCCGAGATGCGGTTCCGAAGGTCCGTGTTCCCGGAGCAGCCGGTCCGGACAATGCCTCGGGGGGTCCCGGCCTTGGCGTGGCCCCCCCGCCCCGGGGAGGGGCTCCCCCGTGACGCGGGGCTCACCCCGTCGTGCGTTTTCCGCATCAAGTTGCCTGCGCGTCACGGGAACCAAATGTCAGAGGTGCCTTCCCGGGCGCGCGCGCGCGCGCGGGGCGCCCCCAGGCAGCCCCGGGGAAGGTGGGGGCTCCCGGCTCCCCGCACCCCCAGGCGGGGCGACCCCCGAGGGGACCGGGACGTGCCCGCAGAGGCGGGTCCCGCGCGCAGTGGCCGGCAGAGCTGTCAGCCGCCGGCGGCCGGACCCGCTGCGCCCGCGCCCCCGGAGCCGCCAGCTGCAGAGCAGCCTCCTGCAGCCCAGCGGGTCTGCAGCGAGGGGGGAGGATTTTGCGAGAAAATGGGTCATTTCCTTCTGGTTTGTTTTTGCACTTGCTTGCTTTCTAAACGCAACCCCACCCTCCCCCAGCAGGCAGGTAACAGAAGTTTGTCAGGTGGCTTGTAAGTCACCAAAACCGGGGAGAGGGCGTGCTGGGGCTTAGCGGAGGTGCCCGGAAGCCGCCGGGGAAGAGCCTTTGCAACTTGTCAACCTGGAAGCTGGTCTGGTTTGCAGCTAGACGTTCAGGGCCCGCCCGTTCTCCAAGGAGGTGGTTTTTATCCTGGGAAGGAGATTTCTCGGTTATTTTACTGTTTTTTGCAAAGCCTCGTCACATGCGTGTGTTGGGTGCAAAAGCTACCAAGTGCTTATGCTGGAATCGAAGGGAGCAGCTCGCCAGACCCAAGCACCATTACATGGCAGTTAAAGGGTTAACAGGGCATCCTCTCTGGGGCCAGAGAAATACCCCTTCTCCTAATTAAGGGAAGGGCGGCCAAGAGAGAAAGTTACAGTTACAGTATGTGCATAAACAACCAGCTTCGTGGAGAAGCTGACCCCGGCTTTCCTTCTGTGGTTTTCAAAAAAAGGACTTTCCTCAGTGGAACTCCTGAGGAGGACACTCAAATTAGGGGTTTCCATACCGGGGCCTCGTAAAATGGGCTAACTGGTTGAATGCCATGATGCAAACCCAAGCTCTTAGGCGGCCCTCCTCTTAGGTCTGGGTGGGACGGGGTTTTGATTTTTTATTTTTTTTAAAGAATTCAAATGAACTTCACCTAAATACGGATTGGTTTTGAAAACAAGGGATGGGAACAACTTGTCTAAAGCTGTTCTCCAGACAATCCCTTTCAGAAGACCAGAGATTGCCCGAAGCTTTGCAGTCCAGGGAGTCTTTCCTCATCTCCACCCAAAGCCTGCATTTTGGACTTTGCTCAGAGCTGACCCTGGATTAACACAGTCTTTAATCAGCCAATATTTTGCATTCTCCCTGCCCCCGGGTCAGAACTTTTTTTCAGCAAACCAAGTCACAGTGGGATGCTCGGGCATTAGCAGATCCCGGGCATTAGCAGATCTCGGAGTCTTAACAGAATATTTTTTATTTCAAGTGAAGAATACCAAAGGCTAATGGGAACTACTCCCAAACGTATTTGGTTGTCCTTCCTCTGGAAGAACATCAGTGTGCATGAAGGTCGCATTTTACAGTTGAACTCAGAGGCCCTCAAGACCACCGTGACTAAGATGCTTTACAGATGATGAAACTGAAGGATTAAGTGATTTCCCCAAGGTGGTGCAGCCAGTTAATGGTCAATAGAAATAAGGACGTAGGACCTCAACAAGACAAACCTAGGGCCTGGCGTCAAAGAACATGAGTAAGATAAAAGGGTAACTTAGAGCAAGTCTGGATCAAAGCCTATCACACCGTGAAGTTCTTAGGGCAGGAAATCTGAACTCTGAGTCTGGTTCAACTCCCTTATTTACCTGTTGATGACACTGAAGGCCAAGGGGCACAGGATCTACCCAAGGCCACAGGTCACGCAGTGCCCACCAGTTAGATCCCTTCTCCGAGGCCCCATCCCTTCCCATCAGATAAATTCATGTGACCATGAAACCAAAACAGATAGTGTTAGGGGGAAATGATGTCCTGAGCTAATCCCATACAGGCTTTGTGGACTCCACCCCCACTCCAGACTAAAGCCATCAAGACATTGGGAAAGACAAATCCCATCACCACCAAAGGGAGGGTGGCTGGGACCTGAGGGTGGAGTTGGGCAGCCAGGTTGGATATAAAAACCAAACACGTGGGCCTTGGGGTCTCCCGCTCTGTCGCTCGCCTCCTGGCTTCACGGCTTCTGGCTGGCGGCCAGCTCTCAGAGAGCCCTTTGGGATTCCAGATCAGCGGATCGGGTAGGACTCATTTAAAACTTTGTCTCCCACTTTTCTCCCTGAGCTGTCCATTTCCTCATTTCCCCTTCCCTTTGTAAATAAACCTTTTATTAACCTTTCGCGTGTGCCTGCAGTAGAGCATTGGTAAGTCCTTTTAAGCGCGCGGGTGAGGACCCACAGTCAGGCACCCCGTTTTGTATCGGGGCTGCCCTATAACAATAGGTCTGTGTTCTGGAATTTGTGGAGACTTGTAAGTTACTGGGTTTGAAACTCAGGCCATTCGAGTATTGCTTTGTTTATAGGGACTGCTGGCTTTTTAAGTCAGTTTCCCCATTTTGCAGAAAGAGCTGGCCTGCTGAATGGATGGAAGGAAGGAGAGGGACCAGGAAAGGGTTTATCTTGCTCTCTTCCTCACTTGATGGCTTATATAAAGAGGGAGCTGTGCATTGCTTCAGGGATGCCCCAAGCTCCTATTTTGTTTCATGAACTCTTATTGAGCACATACTATGTGTCACGTGCTGTGCTTGGCTCAGGCTCTGGGGCAGAATGTGGACTGCTCTGCCCTGCAGGAGCCAGCCCGTCTGCAAAATGCCCAAGCCATCATCCAGCATGTTCTAGAACCAGGTTATTAATTCTATGGTGATTCCATACTGTGGTCTTTATTTCAGAGATTACCATACTAGGATGCTGGACTCATAAGCTTTGGGGTGGGAGTGGATTCTGGAGTGTCAGCTTTGCTTTATGAGATTCCCAGTAATAAGAAGAGAGCTGACCTCCAAAAACCTGAGGGTGTGGGCAGAAGTTCTATTTGGATCTAGCTTCAGTGCAGTAGCATAGATGCAAAGCAGACTTTAAAAAAGCAAACAAAGGAACACCCAAAAAAGGTTCAGGAAGTAGAAGTAGAGAAATCAAAAGTCGGCTGTCTTGTAGCCAGCTGTCACCAAGCAACCTCAGCAGCTCCGGGCTCCTGCACGCCCACCTTTGCAAGATCTAGTCTGGCTACTTCCTCTTAGCTCGCTGGCCCCCTTGAGCCACCCAGTGTGGCCTGCAGAACCAAGCAGTTACTAGCACCCAGTGCAAAATGCAAAAGCCCCAGCTGTGAAAGCTGAATGGAACCTTCAGGAGTCCCACCGACCTCCTTGTTTGACAGATGAGGAGTTCAGGCCCAGAGACGTGGGAACTTTCTCAAGGTCAAACAGTTCAGTGGTGAAACAGCTCCTCGACCCCTCCACACATGCAGGTCAAGAGGGCATGTAGCTTTGAAAACAAAAATTGCTCCATCACCTCTATTAAATACCTCCTTCCCTGGCCCTTAAAACGCTGTCCCGGTTTTGTCTGAAAGCAGAGGAGGTGAGGGCTCCCCTAGACAAGGATGCAAGAGCCCAAGGCGTGGCCTGCAACATGCTTGCGGCTGAGGCCTGGCCACCTGCTTCGTGGTATCACACCACTGCTTTTTGGTTCATTACTGTTCACAAGGGAACTATGCTAATGTAAGGTGCTAACGGTGGGCACAGCTGGACACTGGGTATAAGCGACCCCTCTGTATGGCCTTGGCAACTCTTCCATAAACCTCAGACTACTCTAAAATTTAACAATACATTTCACGAATACACATTCATTCATTAAATTAAATGCTATCCTGGAGGCTGACACAGCAGGGCCCCAGAAGGTAGAAAGTTGGTTCTGGACCATTTTAGGCACGAATTCTCTGGAGCTGAGTTTTTTTGCATTTTGCAAAGTGAGTAGGATTTTACAAAAAGATGGACAAGATGAGTCCCAGATTCCCTTTGAGCTTAAATATTCTGCAGTTCTGACTCTCCCCTGACCTTACAGCTTAGTCATGATCCCCCCACTTTGCCAGCCCAAGCCCTTCATCACAAGAGGCAAGGAAGAAGAGAAGACATCCGTCTCCAGATCGGAAAAGCTGGCTCCTGATGACGGGAGGTCAGCTCACCTTTGCACCAAAATTGCCACTTAGCCCTGCTCCCCCACATCTAATCCAACAAGACTCTGGCTCTTGATTCCAAAGTGATTGGAGGGTACAATGAGATTCAATTCTCTTTGGGGTCTTTACCAATTTCACCCCATAGGCCCTCTGTCAAGATTCTAAGGTCACAGGGGCACCTTCTGGGTCAGAACAGTGGTGCCAACGTGACCTTGGACTTCACAGCCACCTGGTCCTGACAGCTTGTTGGAAATGTACTAAACTCTGGGAGGTCATGACTGGATGGTTTTAAATATGATGCTTCTCAGCCTCCAGGCCCCTTATTATCATCAAAAAGAACAACACCCACAGAGACCAGGACGATCTGTCCTCTCAACACCTAGTAGGTACATTGCTAAAAATAAATAATAAAAGTTGTGTGCAAGGTACTGGGGTTGGGGACAGATGGAGGGATCCAAAGAGATCTAGACCCCAGCTTTTGTTCTCTGTGAGCTTAGATTTTAATGGAGCTTATAGATAAGTGCATAAAAGTACACTAATACCCCACTATGGCCGGTACCTGTCACATGGGGCAAAGGAAGCACTGTGGAGGGAGGGGTGGCGTGTGGCCTTTGGGTGCCGGCAGGAGGCCACGGCCACAAGCAAGGTGGTCAGCACCCAAAGAGCAAGAGACAGGAAGAAATGAGGTTGCAGAAGTAAGTTGGGGTCCAGTGAGGAAGGACATTGGGAGGCTGACTAACCAGTGGGTTTTGTGGTTCCAAGAAAGGAAGGCCATTCACAGTCCGAGCAAACACAGGTTTTGACAATGCACGGTTTCAAAAATATTCCTTGTCCTGGACACGCGGAGCTGGTTACAGGCTAGCAAAGGAGTCCTGAGCTCACAAGGAAAAGCTCCAACAAACAGCCTGGTGGGAGGTGACATGGGGGGGAGGTGGTGAAGTCTGAGGCCCTGAGCTCCCCCACTTCCCCTCCCACCCCCGTCCTACTCCCTGGAGACAGAACTAGTCTAGGCAATGCTGCCAGCACTTTTTCTTTGGCCTTGTAAGTCTTCAACCCGGTACCTCTTTTCATCCCTCTGCTCCAGCTGCCTCATCTTAGGGGTGAACTTTGAAAATCTGATGAAGGAGGGATGGTGAAAACCTCACTTGCTGGAGGGTCCTGGGCTCCTGTCTCAAATCAGTTGCTTCCCATAACGGGGAACATTATGATGAGCTGAGCTGTGACTGGCCTTGCCAGCTCCATCACCCTTGGAAGAACGCACGGACCCAAGTCCGAAGGCCAAGGCCTTTGCTGCAGAGACCACCAGCTGCGGACAGCATCTTCTGCCCCATGTCATTCAAGCAAACGCTTGGTAGTCATGAGGCCAGTGAGCCCAGAGCCCTTCAAAGCACCAGGTTTGTGGGGATGGTGCTATCAGCACGATGAACAATATGAAGTCAGATTTGCTGCTTTTTAAGATTGACGGTAAATTCAGATTATTAGATGCTAGTATCAGAAATTGGCAAGTCTACTCGATAGATGATGTTGAGTCCTGTTATTTTGTCAATTGCCCTCCATTATCAATAAAACCGTTCTCAGTACTTGAGTATGACACCTTGTAGTCAACCTCAAATTCACTGGGGTACAGCTATGTAATCGTAGAGAATTATATAGTTGCCACAGAAGAGCCGAAGGCCACAGGCTCGTTTGTTGTTATAGCTATTGATTTTCAGTTGCACTCACACACAGCTCTGTTTCAGAGTCTGTCTAGTTGCAAAGGCTTTGAAGATGAGGGATCATGTGCTAGAGCCCCATGCAGAAGACTTAAGTCAACCCCCCGCCCCAACTGTTAAATACAGTGTATCATCTTATTGAGCTTGTTCTGATGGTTGTTCAGGTTTGAACAAAAAAGTAGGTGAGGTTTGGCATAACTGGGTTAAATTCACCAACTGCCCAGGCCTTGCTAGTTGGTGCAGCTTTATTTATTCATTACATGCTGCAGTATTTGTTATATGTGAATTCAGTTGCTAACACACCAATTGGTGACCAACTGTAGGAGTTAACTCACGCTAACAAACTCCCAGAAGACAGGACTCCCACCTTTTGATTAATAGTTACATGCTGTCCTGAGTCCCTGTGTACGTGCAGGGGACACCAGATCATCATCAGAAGGTTGCTCCGTGGGAAGTGAGCTAAGGAGAGATAGCTTCATTCAGCGGCAGCCAGCAGAGATGGTATCTCAAGCCTTTGTCCCGTGGAAGGGGCTAGATGTACTGTCCATATTGGCCTCTTAGCCTCTTTTTTTTTTTTTTAGTCTTCATTTCTGGTTAATATTCCCATGGTTGGTTCAGTCTTCCTGCACCTAACTTGTCTGCAAGTTCAACATCAAGCATCCATACTTGGTCTGGAGGCCAGTCGCTGTCTTTCAAGAGGCCTCTAATAGCCCGTCCTGATTCCTTATGTTGGTTTGTTCCATTAAACTGTCACAGCTCGGAAGTCTTCATTCCAAATGCTATGGGGACTCCACAGATATATGTATAATGATTAAATCTATAAAATATATACTAAATATATATACTAAATAATAAATCTATATATAATTATTAATACCCAAGGACTTTATACTAAGAGCACATGATTTAAATATTCATCAGAAACACGAAAGGGGTGCTTCTCGCTGATGTTTGCCAGAGAGGGTGAGCGTCAACCTTCACGCTATTGCTGATCTGAATTTTTTTCGACTTTTCATTTCAGATTAAGAATGACCCAAAAGAAATCGCGGCTTTGTTCCACAGCCAACGTTTATACTCAAGTGCCTGATGGAGGATGGGGCTGGGCTGTAGCTGTTTCTTTCTTCTTCGTTGAAATCTTTACCTACGGCATCATCAAATCATTCGGTGTCTTCTTCAATGATTTAATGGACAGTTTTGATGAATCTAATAGCAGGATCTCATGGATCATATCAATCTGTGTATTTGTCTTAACATTTACAGGTGAGTACATCTGTCCCCTTCAGCACTCTATGAGCAGAGGCCCCTTAATTTGCCTGACTACCAATGGTCCCGTGTTTATACCAAGCATTTCCTTTTGTGACCTGTTGGCCCTTCCTTGCCCCAATTAATATGGTTTCAAGGGGACAGGAGTAAATGGCAGCTTTGTGGTGATGCTGCCTTTTCTCTAAAGATGCAACAGCTGAAGCTCTCAAAATGCTAGGCCCTCATCCTCATGCTTAAGAAACAGATTGGAGGGCCCCCCTGGTGGCGCAGGGGTTGAAGACAGCACCATCGGGCTGTCGCCAGCCACTGCAACCTGAGTTCAATCCCCGGCCAAGGATCTGACCCACTCTGTCTCTGGTGAATCCTCTCACCCACCCCCCACCACCCCCCCCGCCACACACACACCTCTGGTCTACACTCCAGTTCTTGTATGCATAAATAAATGAATCTTTAAAAAAAAAAAGAAACAGATTAGAAATGTACAGCTATGGATACATGAAAGAAGACAATGGGATGGTATGAAAGACTAATGTAAAATTATAAATACTGTTCGGGGGTACACTCTGAATCCAAACACCTGCTTCCCTCTAGGACCTTTGTAGCTAATCATAACACAGGTCTCACAGCATCAAATTAAGAAGGGCTCCAGTATAACGTCTAATATACTAACGTTTTCTTGATCCTAAATAGGCCTAATTCAAATGCACCTACCAGATCTCAGGACCACCCTGGCACTGCCTCCTGCAGGTGTTTTGGGGACGAGCTCCCAGTTCCAGCTGGAGTATAAGATACTTCATTTTGAAACTGTAAAATGTTTCCTTCTCAGAAAGACCATTTCAGCACATTAGAACCCAAGTTTTCTATTTGGCCATCTAAATAAAAAGAAAAGCCCTTACCTTCAGTTTTAGCTCATTAATAGCCAAAGGAAACAATGTAATCTGCAGGAAATTTCCAGTTAATACTATTATACCAGGAGATATTGTTCCTAAATGCTATTACTTCTAGTAGTTAATGCTTTGGGTCAACATACTGCCTAAAAATAATTATAGTGGTTTCATTATGGGCTGTAGTTTTTTTTTTTTTTTTTTTACTCAGTAGCTAACCAAATTATTGCAAAGACCATTATGGGATGTGAACCAATAGCCAGAGGAAGCGATAACGGAGCAAGTTCCAAAACAGGCACCGGTGCCCTGGCGGAGTGCAGGGCTGGTGGCACTGGACTGCTGCTTCCTCAACTGGAAGATGCCGCCAAATTCATTATTCCTTTACCCTCCGCCAACATAAGAGCTGGAGGGACTAACCCCAGCACAATGTGGTGCTTTTTTTTTTCTGCCCCTTTCCAGCATGTTCTGTTCTGCATTGCTCTTCCTTCACCCCCACGGTTCCCCTGGCCCAGTCTGCTTGTCAGGATCAGCCTCAGCCAAGTGACACAGAACTAGGCTGCCAGATGTCGGTGTCCTGGGACAGTACAGAAACAAGCAAGGTGCACAGCAGCAGCCACCCTCCTGTGGGTGTGCGAAACTGAGACTTCACCCCATGCTCACCATATTTCACTTTCAGAAGAGCCCGGCGAAACTGAGCTAGTATTTCACCCTAATTAGAGCTTCTTAAGAATCCAAAGCACAGCCTACAGGGGGAAAAGATGACTCAACACTTGCAGGAAAAACCATTTTTTTTAAAGATTTATTTTTATTTATGCATATAAGAACTGGGGTACAAGCCTGAGGTGCAGGTGGTGGGGCTAAGAGGATTCACCAGAGACAAGAATGGGGAACAGAACAGGCAGACTGACTGAAATCCACTGCTGAGGGAAGCAGCGCGGAGACAGGAGAGGTCTGCTGTGCCATGTGGGTAGCTCCCTGGCGGGGGTGGGGGGGTCAAACTCGTGCTGCAGAGGCTGCGGATTGCTTCATAGTGCTGTGACTTAACCTCTTGCGCCACCAGGGAGGCCCAGGAGAAACCATTTTTATTACCGGATAACATAAACATGAACCTGATATTATAGGTGCTCGTGATGAGTGCAAATCTTCCATGTGAAAATCTAGATGTCAATTTTACCCTATGACATTGCACCCTCTCTAAGGAGCTGGAAGAATATGATCCAATGTAAACAAATACTGAAATATGGTGGTGACTTAGGGGTGAGCTGGTGGTGGGTGCCCTATGATGGGGATTATTAGAAATGAATTAACAGTGCAACGATTCTTGAACTGCCTTAAGTAACCAGTGCATAAGGTGTGTGATACAGTTTTCATCGTCTCTCTGTGTTCAAGACTTCAAAGCAGGATCTTATTAAAGCTCACGATCAGGCCATGCACGGCGAGTTAAAATAGCACCTTGCGGGGTCTCCATTACAGCGCCCCTCTCCACGGTCCTGAGCGCCCGATTCGGACACCGGCTGGTGGTGATGGCCGGAGGGCTGCTCGTCAGCAGCGGGATGGTGGCGGCATCTTTCTCACACAAGGTTTACCAGATGTACATCGCCATCGGCCTCGTGTCTGGTGAGTGCTTCTCCTGGATGCACAAATTCCCCCCGTGCTTAGTTTGAGCAACAAAGAAGAGCAGCGAGGAATGAAACCCAAAATGTATTTCTTCCTCTCTCTTTTGTCTTTAAAATGAACAACATCCCAGGTCAGTGGTTTTGAACTGGGGCTGCAGGACCCAGGGGACACGGGGAGGTATGCCCATGAGTTCTTATATAACATTTATCAATAATAAAGGGAACTTCTCTTGCATGATAGTTTGTAGCCAAAAACATATTTCACAAGGGATGATTTGAATTTCCTTAGCCAGTATCTCTCAAATAGGGGTCCAAGGGGCCTGAGCTGTAGGAGAGGGTCCAGTGTGTTATTCTTGGGGTGCTAAGACTTTTTTCGCTTTATAATGAGTGTACATTCCTCACAGATTATTTATCAGATATCCATTTAAAAGGGTGCAAATTGTAACTAAGTATCTATAGTGAAGGTCTATATACTTTTTAAGTCTTTGTTTCTGTCCTCTCAAAACCTACTTACTTCCAACTAGCAGTCTTCTATAAAAACTATATTCAATAATAGTTTGGTCCATCGTGAATTATATAATTTTGAAAAAAATGCAGAAAAGGGGGAACCAGAAAGCAGGTTTTGTGCACCTCGCAGCCCTCTACAACTCTTCGAGCTTATCAAGACCTCTGAACCCATTTTTCTTTGCTGTGGCACCTTTTTCAGAATAAATTTACTGGACTCCCAGCAGAATCACACAGATCCCACCTGTTCCAACACATCTTCCCAGTATCAATCAGTGTTTTTGTTTGTTTTGGTTTTTTTTTTACTTTCTTCCACAGGTTTGGGATATTGCTTTAGCTTTCTCCCAACGGTAACCATCCTGTCCCAGTACTTTGACAAGAGACGCTCGGTGGTCACTGCGGTCGCGTCCACAGGAGAATGCTTCGCCATGTTTGCTTTTGCACCAGGTAGGTGTCTCCAGCGTGGAACAGGGGAGCAGTCCCACTGTTCTTGCTGCACTCAGCTGGGCGGGTGGTCATGGCTACTGTCTGCATGAGGGAAGCTCATTTGCTGTCTACTCCAGTAAATGTTTAGGCTCCTTAATCCCCCTCTTTGGAGTTCAAACCTTTTAACACTAGTCCAAGTTCTCATAAATGGGAAGGCACGTGACCCACATGTAGTGACAAGGCGTGAGATGTCCGTTCCTACACAAACCATGTAGTGATTTGGGATGGTTCATACTGTTATTCCTCTTTTTTTGTCCAAAGAGCCATATTCCATGTGGATTTAAGTTATGCTGATGAAGTCAGTTTCATTATCTGTGTGTGGGTTACCGCACAGTGAAATTTTTTTAAAGATTTATTTATTTATGCATACAAGAACTGGGGTACAGCCCAGAGGTGAAGGGTGTGAGAGGATTCACCAGAGGCAGAGTGGGGAGCAGAGCAGGCGGATCAACTGAAATACACTGCTGAGGGGAGCAGCGGGCGAGACAGGAGAGGTCTGCTTCGCTGGGCAGCTCCCTGGCCGGGGATCGAACTCATGCTGCAGAGGCTGCGGATAGCTTCATAGGTTGTGTCTTAACCCCTGCACCACTAGGGGGGCCCCGCACAGTGAGATTTTTATCCCTGGTCTGTTTCCCTCTCTTAACATGAATATGTGAACCACACTCCCGTACGCAGTAGACAGATAACCTCGGAGACCCAGCTTCACTCCTTGCTCTCCACTGTTTCTTGATGGGTCTGTCCACGGGTTACATTTTGTTCAAAGGAGACACATGTGGAATTACTTAGGGGTGAGAGGCCATAATGTGTGAGTCTGTTCAGATAGTTCAGAAAAATGAATGTATCTGTCATCGAGAGACAGAGACAGAAACATGTTAATGTGGGGATTTCGCTAAAGGATGAGCAAGGATGGGGAGCCATTTTTTCCACTTTTCTGTTGGTTTTAAGTTTTTCTAAAGCAAGGGCTGAGGGGAAAGCGCATGGGTGCCCCGTGAATGAGCTGAGGGTGCGCTGGGCCTTGTCCCCTCACCGGGCATCTCCCTGGCATCTGGTAGGCGCTTGGACAAAGTTAGAGAAAGGAATTCAGACCAATATTGCCAAATGAGTATAAAGGACTTCGAAATGCCCACGTCGAAAGTATTTTGCAATCTTCCATTTCCCATACTAACGGGGGGGAACAAGAGGTGTGAACAAAAACACATGGTGCAGAAGTGAGCAGAACCCCCCAAGGAGGGCGTCTGCCTTGCTGAACTGACTTCTGGGTAACCACACACCTGCCAGTTCTCAAAGAATCACAAGAGGGTAAAGTGAACATTCCGCCTTTCTGGGATGATGAAGAAGGTACTTTAGGATTTGTGGAGCCTGCGTTACCTGATGTCACTGTGGGGCTCTGTATCCCCTTGGGCAACACCCCTAACCTCACATTCCTCCAGTGAATGTGAGGGGGTGCCCAGCTGGCCTCTGCAGGCTGCCTCTGGCCAGCAGCCAGACCCAACCTCCTGGCAGGACGGGAGGGGGGGGTTGGGGGGGCTGTAGTTAAAGACCTTCCACGAGATGGAACTGGGAGCCCTGGGTCAGTTAATTCTAGGAGAGTCATGCATGCTCCTACTCTCTGCTTCTCACGTAATCCATTACTATTCAGGGTTGAGTGAGTGCTGTAAATGATTTGGCTCCGGGGCTGGCAAATTCTGTTTTTAAAAGTCAGATAGTCATATTTTAGGCTTCATGGTCCCTAGGTCTGCCGATTTCCTCCCAGCGGCATCCACTGGGGTCAACGAATGAGCGTGGCTGCAGCCCCCCAAACCCATTGTCAAAACTGGGTTCAGCCGGCAGCCAGTGCTGATAACCGTGACCAAGAGCCCAGACTCATTTCACTTTGCACTTCCACCTAGGGACACCCCCCACCCCCTCACCAAAGCACCTTTGGAGCCGGGACCAAAAACCTTGGTTTCCAGATAATCATCATCACGGCCATGTTCTCCTTCTGGGTTCATAAGGGCACCAAAGCTCAGTGAGAGATAGTCCAGGCCTGCATTGTCGCGGCTGAGTAGATCTTTACACAAGTCATGAGGAAATCTGCATCCTTACTTCTTCCTGGTACTTCCCCCTGGCCTGGGGTCCATTTTTCATTTATGCATACAAGAGCTGGGGTGCAGGCCAGAGGTGGGTGGAGGAGAGGACTCACCAGAGACAGAGTGGGGAACAGAACAGGCAGATGTACTGAAATACACTGCTGAGGGGAGCAGCGGGCAAGACAGGAGAGGTCTGCTGTGCCATGTGGGTAGCTCCCTGGCCAGGATCATGCAGCAGAGGCTGGTGATAGCTTTGTAGTGCTGAGACTAAACCCCTTGAGCCACCAGGGAGTCCCCTAGAGCCCATTTCTAACCTGAGTCCTCTCCCTCTCCCCCACCTGCCCAGCCATCACGGCTCTGAAGGAGCACATCGGCTGGAGGTGCAGCCTCCTCTTCGTGGGGCTGCTGCAGCTCAACATCGTGGTCTGTGGGGCGCTGCTGAGACCCATCATCATCAGACCTCCGGGGTCCCCCAAAGTCATGACCCAGGAACACCGCAAAGAAGCGCAGTACATGCTGGAGAACGAGAAAACGCGCACCTCCATTGATTCCATCGACTCAGGAGTAGAGCTCACTACCTCACCCAAAAACGTGCCTAGTCAGGGCGGCGGGGAGCCCGAGGCCAGGGCGCCTGCACAGCAGAACCTGGTGCCCGCCAGGCCCCGGCCCAGCGCCCACGGGGCCCCGCTGCTGGACTTCTCGGTCTTGAAGGAGAAGGGCTTCATCTGCTACGCGCTGTTCGGGCTCTTTGCCACGCTGGGCTTCTTCGCACCGTCGCTCTACATCATCCCGCTGGGCATCAGCCTGGGCATCGAGCAGGACCGCGCGGCCTACCTGCTGTCCACCATGGCGATCGCCGAGGTGTTCGGCAGGATCGGGGCCGGCGTGGTGCTCAACAGGGAGCCCATCCGCAAGATCTACATTGAACTCATCTGCGTCGTCTTCCTGACCGGGTCGCTGTTTGCCTTTACTTTTGCGACTGAGTTCTGGGGCCTCATGTCCTGTAGCATATTTTTCGGGTGCATGGTTGGGACAGTCGCCGGGACCCACATCCCGCTGCTCGCCGAGGAGGATGTGGTGGGGATCGAGAAGATGCCCTCAGCCGCCGGCGTGTACGTCTTCATCCAGAGTCTGTCGGGGCTGGCGGGCCCGCCCCTTGCAGGTAACAAACGCGAAAAACGCGCCATGGTGCGGGGCAGGATTGTGCTTTTTTTTTTTTAAGATTGATTTATTTATACAAGAATGGGGGTACAGGCCAGAGACGCGGGAGGGTGAGAGGATTCACCGGAGACGGAGCAGGGTGCAGAATAGGCAGACTGACGAAATACACTGCTGAGGGGAGCAGCGGGAGAGAGAGGAGAGGTCTGCTGCGCCATGTGGGTTGCTCCCTGGAAGGCCGGGGATTGAACTCGTGCTGCAGTAGCTGGCGATAGCTTGATAGTGCTGAGACTTTACCCCTGCGCCACCAGGGAGGTCCCGGATTTGGTGTGTTTCCTGTGTGTTTTCTTTCCCTTGTCTCAGCTTTGGAAATGTCTGAAAATTGAGAATCGTGGTCTCTCTGAGATAGGAAATCACAATTTACAAGTAATCTTAATAATCCCTGTTCTTGATTTTGTAGCCCAGCTCAGATAAACATCCTTCGTTTTACACTTGGTATACTGCCCAACCAAGTTCACCCCTTCAGCTAGGAGACACTGTTTAAGGCCAGGCCTTGAGAATCAGCAAAGTGTAGGAAGGATAAAAATCAAGAGGACGACGAAGGAAATCAGATTGATTCCAAATGATTGACTTGTTTAGCCATCCACGAGTTTAAAAAAGAAAGGAAAATTACCTTTCCAAAGGAACATGTTTCCAACTGTGCCACGTTTAGATACCTCAGGGCACCATCGCCCCCCGGTTTCTAGGAGCTAAGTGTGCTTCCTGCTCGGTTCTCTTCTCTAGAAAGGATGCTGCCTGGGCACCCTTTATTCTTTAGAGACACAAAACTAAGAAGGCCAAGAAATGCGAACTTTCTGGTTTTGAAGGGAGCCTGGGTAAGGGTGTGTGGAGGGGTTGCTAATGGAGGCACATGCTTTCTCCCAGGTCTGCTGGTGGATCAGAGCAAGATTTACAGCAGAGCCTTCTACTCCTGCGCGGTGGGCATGACCCTGGCGGCCCTGTGCCTGGCGCTCGTGAGACCCTGCAAGCAGGGGCTGTGCCAGCGCCGCCTCGCCCGCGAAGCAAAGGCGGAGGGCCAGCGCGGGAAAGCGTCACAGGACATCCCTGAAGACTTCCTGGAAATGGACCTTGGGAAAAATGAGCATAAAGTTCCTGCAAAAGCGGAGCCGGTATGATGTGCTTTTAGCCCATGACGTCACCTGCCTGGTGGCCGGGAGGGGCCGGGGACACAGCCTGCGGGGGCCTGAGCGCTTTGTCCACTTTAAATGACCTTTTTAAGGAATGTATCCATGAACACCACCACCACCATCCTTTTATTATTTTTTTTCTTTTAAGTTTTCCTTTTTGCATGTTTTTCAAGCCAAAACAGAAACAACCAAACACTCTTCCACCCGGTGATCTGGCTGTGCTCGGTAGCGAGACAAAGATGCCAGGATCACGCTGGTGCATGCTGAGGTGTTAAAACAGTGACGTGAGCCAGCGAAGTGGTTTGAAGAGCAATCACCTATGATCGTGCAGGTCCTGGAAATGAAATCGGCCATTCAAAAAAAAAAAAAAATCTTTAATTATTTTTGGAATGTCTCATTTTCAGAAATGAGTACATTGTTTGAGGCTTTGAAAAATATGGAGCTTTCCATTAACTGATGGCCTCCACTTCCCAAATTTCCCATGGAAATGCAGTACAGTCTAACACCAAACCTTTGGCTAATTCACAGAAATTTAAAAATCTGTCTATAACTTGAACTTCATAAATGTGAAGATGATCACTTCTTTTTAAGGCCAGTCATTACCAGAAGTATTTCCATACAGAGTAGCTAAAATGGCATTCAAAAAATATATTTCCTTTTGCTTTTAAATATTCAGAAATATGTGATCGTAGTGTCTTTAATTTAAATCACTATTTATTATTAAGTTATTCTAGGATGATTAATCAAAAGAGAAAAGAATCTGACACCCTAGTAGCCTCTTACCTCCTTTCTGCAGTCCTTAAATGCCTCAAAGAATTCTCACAGAAGGCCAAGTTACAATGATTCTCCAATTTGATTTAAGGCAACGTGTGCTATTTAAAGGGGGAAATGACTAGCAAATCGCCTTAGCTTTTTTCAATAATTTGTTTTATCACCTAAGAATACTTGAGGATCTTCTTTGATCGGACTTATATTTCACTGAATTGTTGCAGCATTTCTGATTTTTTTCTTAAAAAAAAAAAAATAACATCAAACTGTTGAAGCATCTCTTATTTTACGTGGGGTAGCAGAGACATTTACTTTACCTTCACGAACGACAGGTTGCAATTTATCCCTTCTCATCTTCTCTAAGCTTGGATTGCTCCAAGTGGCCAGAGTTACCAGGTAACTTAGTGACTTTTTTGGAGCGACATTATACATGTGGCATTTCTTGCGTTAGCATCTTCCCATAAAGAAGGCCAGTGTGAGGTTTATAAGTGACTTCTCACTCGCCTGGAACGAATTCCACTTTACAGGTGATAAGCAAAGCTCGGTGCCCCATCTTCCTTAGACTTTACTGTTAATTTACGAAAACTCAGGGGGAAAAATAACAAGCCTAGTTTGGTTACAGGTACACACAAGCTTGAATATTTCTCTGCACTGAAATGGAAGTGGCATATTTCATCACCACCTGCTACTTTTTGTATAGCATTTTATCAGCCATAGAAATAGGACAATCTGTAAAACTCTGGGGAGGGCAGAGGAAAAAGTGACAAAGTGTCTGCCATACACACACACCTGAAATAAGGTGGATGCAGCAAATTTCTGTCACAGCTTGAGAAGGACTTTGGGCTTGTGGCAGTTTTCAAACACGTGACTTCAGCACTTTACACCATTTTTTACTATGAATGTTCAATACAATTTAGTATTTATAACTGATCTCTGAGCGATCTGCTCTGTCCATTCTGTTAACTGCATGAAAAAAAAAAAAGATGTATGCCAATTTCAGTTTGTCGATCAAGGTTTTAAATGTCTGGAAGAAAATGAAAATAAGACTGCTGATTTGTTCTGTATTTGTGATATTCTGGTACTTCTAGATTTGCATTAAATGGATGGCTTTTTTATTTAAAAGAGACTGCTTGGTTGTGCATTCACTTATTGACATTCATTGTTTGGCTTGATTAAAGTCGTCAAAACTCAAGGATTCATTTCAAGTAAGTAATTTTTTTAAACTTTTCTGCAAAAACTTTTAACTCCTCCAAGAAGGGGGAGCTTAACACATAAGACTCTCCATGCCGAAACTCGGCCAACTTTTTCTGGAAAGGTCCACCATACACATTCTGCCCTTAGAGTTTGAAAGCAGCCATGGACGAGAGGTGAGTGAGTACTGTTCAATGAAAGGCTATTTATGGATAGTGAAATTCAAATTTCATAAAATGTTCACACATCATGAATCCTTTTTATACATCATGGAAAAATGTAAAAGGCACAATTAGCTCACAGGCTGTAAGGATAAATAGGCAGTGAGCTGGATTTAGCCTCTGGACCTTGGTTTCTGATCCCCGCTCCGGGCAGCTGTGACTCTGGAACGGATTGGTACCACCAGCTGTTTCGACTTGAAACTATTGGGACTGACAGAAAAGGGTCACTGTGGCCAAAGTGATTCTTAGAGCACAGGAGCCACGGACAGGAAAGGCCAGGCAGTGGTCAGCACATTTCTCCATGATCAAAGAGGTTCTGTTTTAACTCTGAGCACTGAAGAAGTTTTCAGTATAAATGTACACTGTTTCCCTTCCCAAAAGTAAAGTTATTCCAGCCTTAAAAATGAGTTAAGACCATCTGCTCTTTTAACACAATTGCATCCTTAGTTGATACGATGTTTCCAAGCCTTTAAACAATGTTACTGGTTTTACACCCCAGTTTTGTGTGATGGTGCTTCTGTGCTCATAGGCCTGCCCCTTAGCTTCCTCACTGGTGATAAATAGAAAATGAATTCTGAGCCTGGATTTCCTGACTCAGTTGCTCACTCCAGTCACCTAGTGGTATTTATTATGTTTATATTTCTGTGCCATTCTCCAATATTCTAAATCAGATGGGGCCTTCTATCTGATAGCGATCCAGAGATTAGATGACATTACCTTTAAATTTTATAATGGGTGGAAGCGTTACTTAAAATGATCAATTTAAAGGCAGTTCCGACACGTTACATGCTAAAAGGTCACTTCGATAAAGCACGCACTGTGTTGAGAAAAGCAGCTCTGCTTGTTTTCAGATTCATGCAGAGGTTGACATAAGTCAGGCTGCAGTTCCAACAGGTGGCCAGAGGCGGGTGCAGAAGTAAGGAAACTAGCGCCCCCTGGTGGTCGGTTTCTGTAACGACTCCCTGGGGACACAACAAGTGACACATTCAGGAACTTGCAATATGGCTTTTCCTAAAGGAAAAACTCACATTCAAATCAAAACGACATCAGTAATTTCTGGACTTCCTACAGGGGAACTTGGTCCACAAAAAAAAAAAGAACCCAGAGCACTTTATCAATAGAGTATTGCAAGAAACTACAAACTAGGGCTGTGTATTCAGAGTAGCCATCCCTTTCCAGTTCTCGAGAAAAGAACAGGCACACTAACTAGACTGGTGACTTACTCCCCTAGAGTTCAGCCAGAACCTTACATCCCTCTCTGCATTCACGACTCCTGTTCCACATCCTGACTCCACCACTGATTCTCCGGACCTAGCACCAATGAGGTATTTCCAACTTATCACGTCCTCAGCAGAAGTCCTGATCTCCTCCCCAAACCAACCCCCTCCCCAAACCAAACTCCGCCCCATTGCTTCTATTTTCTAAATATACCCAGAGCGAACCTGATGACCCGTCACCTCCCAGTGCCCTTGACCATCCAGCATCTTAACTGGAACAATGCAAACACCTTGTAGCCAGTCTCTCCACTTCCAATCTTGCCACATAGCCAGTCTTGATTTTCCGTATAGAAGCCTTATCATGATCCTATTAAAGCACAAATCATGCAGGAAAACATTTAAAACCTAGAATCCTTACCAATGGGCTCTCGTGAACCCACATGTTACTCTAGCCACGCTGGCCTTGTGACCAGTCCCGAAGAAGACAAGCCTCAGGCCCTGGCCTGCAGGGCCCCCCTACACCCTTCCCTCCCACCTCCACAAGATCTTTCCACCCAGCCCCCTCCAAATGTAGCCCCCCAGGCATCCCTGACTATCCTGTCATCCTAGCAGCACCCCTCTACTGTGATATTACACAGAAAAGCTTCTGCTGACTCACAATCTGTGTCCTCTGCTAGTCCATGAGGGCAACAGGCGCTGGTTCACAGCTCCATCCCCAAGCGCTGGGCAGGGCCTGGCACACAGTAGGTGGTGCTCTGAAAATATGTTTGAATGAATGTGTCCCTTTTCCACTAGTTTTTTTCAATTACACAAGAGAAAAATGGTACCTAGTTAGAGTCACAGTTCAAGAGTCCAGTGGGGCTCCCAAGCAGCTGGGTGACTGTAGGACACTGGAAGTTTGGAGCCCAGAACCTACTGGTTCAACATTGGAGACCCATCCCAGAAGGCCTGGGGTGCTGTCCTGTGCAGGACAGTCATGTGGCAGGGAGAGGACATCCACTACTCGGGTAGGGATGCAAATGCAAGGCCGTGGGTTTTAACATGTAGCTGGAGCAGATTTTAACTTAATTTTCCAGTAGACTTTTTTTTTTTTTTTTTTGATAATCTTTTCTTTTAATGCCTCAACTGGTGGCAAGGGCTTTTCTGGGTATCAAGTCCCTTTTTTTGGTATTAGGGCAAAATGTGAAGACTGTGATTTCTCTGACTTTGCACAAGCACAGATGGTTCCACTTGAACAGAAAAGAGGTTGAATCTTATAACCTCTTAAAAGCAATAAAAAATAAAAGTGGGTAAGCCTCTGCCTGACAGTATTTTACTTCTTATGAGATCACACAAGCAAAGCGAAACTCAAAATTTGGGAGACCTGTGACCTGGTCCCATTTTTATCATTGTTTTAACTAGACACAATTTTGCTTAGCTACCACAGACAAGTTTCATCTGTGAAATGGACAAAGCAATATACACCACGTTAACAATTTATAATTCTGTTTTCCAAAAATGAAGATGCATTTAAAGGAGATACTGGACACTTGACAATTGGTGGGGAGAGCAAAAAGCAACATATCACAATTCAACACCAATGGCACAAGAAACAAAACAAAATAAACAAATGGGACACATCAATTTTGAAGGCTTCTGTGTGGTGAAAGAAACCACCGCGTTACAAAGAAACACCCTACGAAATGCATCTGACAAGGGGCTAATATCCAAAATATGTAAAGAACACATGCAACTTAGCAACAACAAAATAGCCTGATAAAACATGGGCAAAGGACATGAATAGACATTTCTTTGAAGAAAACATAGAATGGCCAGTGGGCACATGAAAAGATGTCCATTGTCTCTTATTATTGGGGAAATGTAAATTGAAATCAGTGAGCTATCACTTCACACTAGTTAGAATGGCTCTTATCAAAAATACAAGAAACGACAAGTATTGGCAAGGATACAGACAAAAGTGTTGGTGGGCACGTAAAATGGTGCAACTATTATGGAAAACAGAATGGAGATACCTCAAAAAATTAAGAATAGCAGGCCTCCCTGGCGGGATAAGGGTTAAGTCTCACCACTATCACTTCCATGGCCTGAGGTGGATACCCAGCCAGGGAGTTGACCCACAAGGTGCAGCAGACCACTCCTGTCCCACCCGCTGCTCCCCTCAGGAGTGTATTTCAGTAAATCTGTGTGTTCTGCTCCCCACTCTGTCCTGGTGAATCCTCTCAACCCCTGCAACTCTGGCCTGTACCCCAGTTCTTCTATGAACTGGTAAACTTACACTTCAAGGAATAATTCTAAAAAAAAAAAAAAAGAATTAAGACTAGCATATGATCCATCTATTCCACTTCTGGGTATGTATCTAAACACAAATACAAATTAAAACCAAAAAAAAAAAAAATTCACTATGGCACTATTTACAATAGCCAAGATATGGAAAAAACGTAAGTGTCCAGTGATGAAGGGATGGGTAAACAAAATGTGATACATATACACAATGGAATATCACTCAGCTGTTTTTAAAAAAGATGAAACTTTGTCATTTTAAAGAACATAGGTAGACCTAGAGATTATTATGCTGAGTGAAATAAATCAGAGGAAGAAAAACAAATACCATTTGATTTCACTCTTGTGGAAAGTAAACAAATGAACAAATTATAAAAACCAACCCTAAGACATGCAAAACACATCAGTGGTTACTGGTGGGGAAGGAGGTTGGGGGGTGGGGATCATGTCATAATATTTATAGATACACAATTACAATGCTGCATACTTGAAAAGTATATGCTAACAACCAATGCTATGGCAATGAAAAAATAACTTCTAATTATCTACCACCGAGAATAACAAGATTCAAAATTGAATCAACTTGAATGTAGGGCCCTTACAGCACCCACGCCCCTTCATCTGAAGGTCAGCACTCACCACCAGGAGCCCAGCATGACCTTCTCCTTACAATGGGCTTCCTCTCCTATCAACGCAGTCTCACAGGTGAATCCGCCACCTCCTAGAGACTGGCACTAATCTAGAGCAGGGTTGTCCTACACAGGCCTGGCGCCAGGGGGCGCTGGTGAGCAGCGCGGGGGGTCAGTCGCACCGGGATGTTCTATAGGGGTAAAATAACACCCTGGATTGGAGACTTAGTAGGGGGGAAAAGAATGTAAAATATCACAATAGTTTTACTATAGACTGCACGCGAAAACAGCACCTGGCATGGACTGGATTCCATGACAGCTCTGAGCACTTCGCGAGCCTGTTTTTGCGGGACTGATGTGGCTGCTGGAAACATCTGAGTTTACGAGCGGGCCTGTCTCTCGGCTCCACGCGCCGGTGTGGACGGGGCTGCTCTAGATCATCCATCAGCGCGAGGATTCAAACTCCAAGCAAGCGCCTTCTGTGGGCGTTCATCCCAGTGCCCCGCGCTGGAACATCGGGTGCGCCTGTGCGGCCCTCGCAGCTCACCGCCAGGCCCCAGGCCATCCCGCACCCCACATTCACGGCCCCCGCTCCCCAAGCACCCTCCCCCGCCCTTCTGGGCGCCACCAATGGGTGTGAAGGGCCGACGTTTGGCTGATGTTAGTCTTTCCCCGCGCTCGGCCCGCCCGGGGCTGGCGGCACTCACGTCTCTCGGGGCTCCGCTGCCAGACGTGTCCCCAGGGCCCCGCCTCCGCGCGCGGCCCCCGCGGGACCCAGCCCGTCGGGGCGCCCTCGCCGGGGAGGCCGGGAGGCCGGGGGCGGGGGGCGCAGCTGCGGGACCCCGCGCGCAGGCGGCGGCGCGGCTTCCTGGGGGCGGGCCCGGGCGGCACCGCGCGCTCGGCGCTCTGGGGCGGCGGCTCGGGGCACCCCGGCCGGGAGCGGCCTCCGGGGGCGGCGGCGGGAGGGGGCGCCCGCAGCAGTCAGGGCGGCCGGAGGCTGAGCCCTCGCCAGCCCGGGGGAGCTGCCCGCGCGCAGGCGCCGGGGTGTCGCCTCGGCTCGAGAACAGTTTAGAAACCCTGCAGGGATCCGTGCGCTACCAGAGAAGATCGTTTTGGAAAAAGCGAGACTTTCCTGCAGGCCATAAAATGCAGTTGCAGTCATCAAGTGCTGTTCTTAGACTTGGCCCTAAGGAATTGTGTTGTTGGCCTGACGCTTACCAAGGGGGAGCTGCTGGGCCCGCTCCCCGGCTGCAGAGCGCCGAGGGGGCGCAAGGGGTGCGGGGAGCCCCATCCACACACCCAGTCGCGGCTGAGCTGGCCGGTCTTACGTTGTGGAAAAATAAAAGACAATAACAGAAAATGCATTGTTCAAGGAGGGAATAAACCCCACAAGGGAATCCCCAAGGGCCGAGCCCCGCCGGGCTCTGCTCTACCAGGACGACCCGCGCCCCTCTGGCCGGTTTCAAGGACAGAGCAGCATCGGCTAAAGGCTCTGAAGTAAAGCAGCTTCGTCAAGTGGAGGCGTGACTGTCAGGGAAGCCACTGACTCGGGTATAAAACGTGCTTTGCTTGCTTTACTCTCACTACATGAATAGTAGCACAAGAATTCAGGTTTCCAAGTGCAAAAAAGTGTGTTCCTCAGAATCGCTTGCTCGGGGCGCGCCCTGCCACTCGGCGAGGCTTCTCACTCACTGCTTCGTGCCGGTCCCGGGCCTCCGGGCATCGCGGCGGCGCAGGTCGTCCCGCAGGGACCCCGGGCGGGCAGAGAGGGGAGCTCCCGCCCTCCCAAAGGGGCCCCACAGCAAAGCTCCCGCTTCCCCGCACAGGCCCTCCAGGGACTCGCGCCCCCACGCCGCGGGAGCCCCGCGAGCCCGTGTCTGTCTTAATTACTCATATTTGAAGGTTCTTGTTTCTGGAGAAGCGCGAGGCATTTCACTACCCACGCTCTCCATTCCTGAAAGGCGTCCACAGGCTTGGGCAGGCCGGCAGCTCCCGGAGGGTCGGCAGAGACCTCGTCCATCCACCTCGCCAGGGCCTGGAACGGCACAAAACGGGGTTGTGGTTTCACATATCGCAGCAAAATTGTTTTCGGCAAGAGAAAACCCTGGCTTCCACCTCAGGTGCCTACATCAGTGCCTTGCACCACCCGTGGAGATGTCCCGTTTGATAAAGACAGTGACGCAGACGAGGGACGCGCAGGGAGGGGAGCGCAAGGGAGACCAGCCAGCGGGGTTTAGGGCTTTAGGGCGGGAGGACAGTTCCTATTCTCCATTTGCTAACTGCCCACAAGGCTCCTGCCCTGCTCTTATCTGATGTGCGAGCGTCACGTGTGCAAGTGCACACACAGGCGTGAGCGCACACGTGTGCGTGGAGACGGACGTGCAGACCCCCCACCCCGAGCTGTGACGTGGTGGATACTGCTACTTGTGGACACAGACATGCACTGATTAGGTTCTGCTTCGAAAAACCATCCCCTCCTAATGAATATACCTGCACCCCACAATTGTCAAGATAAATCATCTCCATCTGTTTGTACAGATTTTAAAAAGGAACTTCAGCACGCGCGCCAGCGCCCTGTTCTGGGAAGTCAAAGGCTCCTGGCCCAAACCCACGGGAAACTGCCTCTTCTACCAGTTCTCACCAAAACGTGTGCACTGGTATTTCGAAGCAGTCAGTTTTTAAGAAGGGTATTTCTCTGCATGTCTTTTTTAAACCACAGCTTCCTGCTTATCTGTGCACTAATTTCCTCTGATACATGACAGCTCCAGAGAAGGGTCTAATAGAAAATGTTAGTTTGCTGTTTACATAACCACTTCCCCTTCTGGCTCCCAGCCTCCCATTTACTTTGTATCTTTCTGTAATGCTGAAGCCCAGGGCGCACTGCAGCTTGCGCAGGCAGATGGGGCAGAGGTCCAGGGGCCGCAGGTCCGCCTCCTCCAGGTGGTTGGAGCCTTGCATCAGGCACGCGAGCCACTGGCAGTGTCGCAGTCCAAAGATGTGTCCGATCTCATGGGTTAAGGTCTGCAAGACACTCACATTGAGACTTATCACCATCTCCATCAACAAGGAGTCACACACCCGTTCCGTCTCTTTCTTTCACAAGAAACAGGCAACTCCCTTCCCTCATCAGCGAAGCTTCAAATCTGCTCGCCACTCAGTCCCTCATTTCCCTACACGTCTCACTTACTATACTAGATTCTTTCCACTGAACGAGGTTTTCTCAACCTCAATACCACTGACAACTGAGTGGGATCGTTCTTGGGGGACAGAGATGAGGAGGAACTGCCCAGGGCCTTAGAGGATGCTTACAGCCTCCCTGGCCTCCCCGCTAGATAGCTGTTGCACCCCCTTCTCAGTTGTGACGACTGGCGGCAAAATGCCCCGAGAGTAGTGGCTCTCAACCAGTGGGGTACTTGCTACAATTCAGATTCTGGGCTTTTCCCCCAAAGATGCTGAGTCAGTAGGTCTAGGACCAGGGGGGCTGAGCCCACATGGGGCGGGCACACCAAGGGATGCCATGCAGGAAACACTGAGAACACCGCTCCGTGGGGGTTAGGACTCAGACCCCAGTGAATACACTGGTGGAAACAGAACCTGTCCCTGGAGGGCCAGCCTGTGGCTCAGCTACGGAGAAAGAGGGACAGGGGGAGAAGGCCTGGCTGCAGCGGAGGCAGCCAGGGGCCCACGGGGGAAGGCCTGCTCTGGAGAGGCCAGGGGGCAGATGTCCTCCCAGAGCCCCAGAGGCAGCTTGACCCGATGATCTCAGCAGCATGAAAGCACAGGTGAGCTGCTCACCCCAGGTTCTGGAGTGAAGCAAATGGAGAGGATGTGGGTACAACCCAGGCTGCTGGCAACTGGCGTGACCAAAAAACTGGCTGGGATACTCTTGAATGTCAATAATTCTAAATTGCTTTTATTGATAATGTTGGTCGAGCAATATCCACTCAAAGTATACAAGGGAACTAGGAGCTCTATTTAAAAATATATATATATCATTGTCTTTTTGCAAGAACTCACCTTACAGGACCGCAGCAGCAGGATGCTAGTCACCACGTCAGGCACGTAATAGTTATCAAAAATCGAATAGTCACTCGAAGATGTTTTCTTCAGCTTCTTCACTCTGCCTTCGAAGCGCAAGCTATAAAATTCACTGCTGTACCTGGCAAAGCTGAATATCCCCACACCTACAGGGGAAAGTGACCAGGGCGTAAGAGTGAGACCTGAGGGAGGGATGACACTTGGGCCGCCAGGGGCCTGCTCAACACATGCTTGAGGTCCACAGGACCTGGGGGGCTGGCACCCCGACATCCCTATCAACATCTGTCCTGGAAAACACAATGGTCTTGAGGCGAATTCTTAAGAAATTAGAAATGCCAGGGAGTTTGCATCCCCCCGACAAAGTCTTTTCCCTAGGAGTCCAAATCAAGCACCCCAAGAGGAACAAGTGACAGTGGTCACTGGCTCTATGCTCTGAGATCACTGTTGATAGAGCCTGTGTGTCAGTGAAGGGCACACACCCTCAAACCATGCTAGAGAATAAGGGCTCCCCCTGGCCCCCAGGCCTGACACTGTCCTGGCCCACACCTTGAGACAGAAGCGCCTCCCCGGAAAAAGGAAATGAACTCACGGTAAGTTTTTCAACCTGACTTCATTCAAAAAGAATATTCCTCGCCCCACCCTTGTAAAGGCATCAACTGGCATTTGAAATTTGGGGGAAGCGCGCATTCTGGAGGTTAAGAAAAAATCCAGTCTACTCATGTGACACACTGACTTCCTCTGGCCAAACAAATGTGGGCATATTTCAATGACACATGTAACAAAAGCTTTTCTTTTTTCTAATAAGCCTACAGATAGGTTTCTGTAGTAAATATTTCTCGATTGAAAACAGCAATCATCATAAGCCTGGAGAGAAGAAAGTCGCCTGCAGTGAGACACCTTCGCACTGCATGGCAGCTCAATCTGGCTCTCCCTACAATTTCTCTCATGCCATGCAATATTAAGAGACTTAACTCCCGAAAGAACTAAAGTTGAAAAAATTGGGGGAATGTTTTCTGGCCTCCTCAAACATACAAGATAAATTAGCAACATCTAAATAAATAGTTTGAAAAATTTTTGTAATGTTTCCATCTCGACCAGGCTCCTAAGAAAAGGGGACATAAAAATTTAGCTCATACAAGTTTATTTCTGATGGAAAGTGAGCTGAGATAAAATTCTGGAAGACAGCAGTGACCCAAGTCTCCAAGGGATTGTGTTGATGGGGACATGGGGGCCTATAAACATGTAAATGGAGAACTGAGGGTAATGGGATAGGTGGGAAGAAGAGGGATGAGCAGCCTGGCCCCAACTTCTGAAAACTAGGAGAAGAGAAGAGAGGGGGAAACATTTGCCAGAGAGAGTCCCATACCCCATAAGCTCTGAGAATCACGTACCCCCGCCATTCGGACCATCAACTCAGTACTCACTAAGCGCAGTCTGGGTGCCCACGCCCACCCCCCTCAGCCCACTGGACTTTCCCCTTTTGAACCTGTCTTATGTCCTGGGGGTAAGGGTAGAACAATACTAGCAAAATGGAGGGGCAGGGAGAAGGGAAGGCAAAAGGGAAAAAAAACAGTATAACTATGAAAGGCTTCCAGATCTCTCCCACCCCCAGTATGACCAGCAGGGTTCCTAATGAGTCAACGTAGACCATATCTCATACCACAGACTGAAGTTCATTTCTCGAGACACAGGATGAGCAAGAAGCGGCATCTGTCTACGGCTATTCCATCGATGAGAACAGCTGAGACAACTAGCAAGATTCCTACTTACATTAATGACAGTTCAAATATCCTTATCTAACTCACCTTGCAAGTGAATTACTTACACTTACTGTCTGTTGTGCCAAGTGCTTCCATCTGCGCCAGGGCACACATGCACAACTTTTTATGCATAGGCTCTTTTATGTAAATTATCCCAAAATGACTCTGTGAAATAGGTATTATTAGCTTCAAAGTCATATGGGTAGCAAATGGCCTGGCAGATCATGAAACATTATGGAAAAGCATATCCCCTACTATGGCCTGATGCTGCTCTGGAAATATTATGGCTTTTTAATACTAGCATGATAACTGGTTGACATTTTTTCCCTCGCTCAGCATCTTCAGGAAGTTTCTACCAAAAATTTCTAAAGGAGTACCGTCTGTCAAAGAGGCCTGTCCAAAGACAAAATTCCAGGAGTCTCTTGGGTAAAGATCAATCATTGTTACCCCCACAATACAGAAGGCATCTTGGGGTTTCTTCATTTTTAAGAACCTCAGGATGTCACCTATTTAAAAAGAAATGAGCATATGTTATATATAGTACACATACTTGTATTTCCTTTACTTAATTCAAATTGTAACTTTGTTTAATTCACCTGCATGGATTTGTAGGTTGTGTGTGTTCTCATTGATTCTAAAGGCACACCTCGTTGCAGAGACAGGAACCGGTTCTAGGAGTTTTACTGTCAAGCCATAGAAAAATGCTTCACAGTAGCCCTTGAGCCACTTAATGTATTGCTCACTGATAATTCTGGTGTTTCCTAGCGATCCTATAATACAGAAGAAAATTTAAAGACAGACTTCAAAATGATCCCACTATTCAGTCTTCACTTCTGTCTATAATTAGAAATGTACAATTGAAACAAATGCCTTTATCATTCATTGACATGAGTTACAAAGAAACAGAACATCCTCGTTTAAGGCAGTCTGGCTCTAGAAATTTCACCATTGGAATGAAAGTCAAAAAGGATCTCCTTGAATAAAAACTGTCTACTTAAATCAGACCAACAGCCCCAACCAGCCCTGGCAACAGCACCCTTGCAAAATGAAACCAAAGCCAGCATATTAACCATAGATACCAATGCACTGTATATAAATACTGTGATTCTCTGGAGAGGGTGCATTTCTAGAGGGGTCGCTGAAAAACTGCTCAAAGTCTTGGGGATTCTCAGGATGGGAGGTGATCCAGTCTGACTGCGAATGCAAGGTAATCGGCCTAAAGAGGTCACTGGCCGGCTGGAAGGCTTCGTTCAGCAAACGCTGTTCCCCAGCATCTAGCTTCTCATACTGTGATACCAGCACTGGGTTCTTTGACAGGAGGGCTGTCTTGAGTGTCTGTGATGAGTGCTGTACTGTCTGCATCTAGAGAGAAAGCACAGGTTATCAAATATAAAATGCATATCCCCACCGGTGGCTGTCACCTACCTAACCGCCACATACAGCTTTACTTTCTCCCCGGCATAGAACAACTGATTGCGAAAGCCCTCAAGTTGTCACACCAAACCACTGTCTGCTTTCCCCATTTCCAAACAAATTTTTTTTAAGATTTATTTATTTATTTATTTATACAAGCACTGGGTACAGTCAGAAGCGCGGGAGGGTGAGAGAATTCACCAGAGCCAGAGAGGGGAGCAGAACAGGCAGACTGATGAAACACACTGTTGAGGGGAGCAGCGAGCGTGGCGGGAGAGGTCTGTGTGCCATGTGGGACCTTCGCCTGGTGGCCGGGGATGGAACCGGTGCTGCAGAGGCTGCGGGCAGCTTCACAGCCCAGCGCTCAACCGCTGCGCCACCAGGGAGGCCCTCCAATCAATTTCTGAGGGAGAGTTTCTAAGAAGTGAAGCGAAGCTCAAATTCACACCTCCTTTTTTGGGGGACAATCTCTTCATTATAAACACTAGCAGTGACTATAGGAGCATGACCCGGTTGCCAGCGTCCTGTCGTTTGGGTAAGAACAATATTATGAATTGACTCATTTGGGCCACATGAAAAACACTCATCCTGGCCAGTGTGACTCAAGATGTTCAATATCAAATAAAAAGAGAAGTAATATAAGTCCCACCCTTTCTGTAATTTAACTGCAAGCTGGTAACAGATCTGGGCATCTGGAAGTCACTGAACCCGGGGGAAGGCATCCGGTGACTGGCGAAAGCCAGACTCACAGTGAGAGGGCTCTTCAGTCACATTAGGTTCTTATGTAGTTTTCATCCTTCTGTCTCAGTGGCTCAAACAGCTGTTCCACCAGGAGGCTTTCAGAGTTAGAAAAGGAAAAAAATGCAACACCCATCATCATCTTTCCTAACTATCTTGATTTTTCCAGCTAAATGTTAGACAATGGTGGGAAATTTGAAGCTAATGGCGTTCTGGTTGGACATCTGAATCCTGATATTCCAGAGTGGGGAGAAAATTCCAGAATCAAGGTCTTTATCCTCAAAGTTCTAACGGCAGCACAGAATCACGACCCAGCTGCTGAGCTCAAGTCTGAATTCCACAGGACGAACTATCGAGCAAGACGGGTCCTGCTAGATGCCACCCACCTACCTTGAGGGCGCGAGGCCGCCTCTGAAGTGTCTTCCCCGGGAAGGACACGCATGTTGGCGCCCGGCTGGGGCAGAGGACGGGATGCTTTCACCCTGAAATGTAGCAGGCAGTGAGGGGCGGCGAGGTCTCCTCCGGCTCCCGGGTCTACTCAGAAGGAGCCGCGGCAGAAGATGGACGGGGCAGGGTGGGGCGGGGTGGAGAACGGGGTCGCTTCAGGGCTAAAACCTGGACATCTCGGGCGAAGTGGGATGCAGCGAAGCGGGATGCGGCCCGCACCTGGTTGCCATGACAACTGGCTCCGGGGTCCCCTGGCCGCCGCCCCAGCATCTCGCACCCCGGGCGCGGCCTCCTGCGGGCGCGGCCCTGTTCCCGCTCGGGCCGGCGCGGGGATCCCCCGGGGGACTCCGGCCACGTCTTTTCCCCCCGGGGAGTCTCCCCAAAGCTGGGGCCCCCACGCTCCCGGGAGACACCCGCCCCCGCTGGCCTCCCGGCTTCCGCTGTGGTCGCCCCTCCCACATCGTCCTCGCGCCCCGCGAACGCGGCCGTCCCCCGCCTCCACAACGGGACTGCCCGGCCCAGGCGGCGCCGACGGGTCCACCGCCCGACCCTCACCCGCCAGGCCTGGACGCCGCCCGCCGCCGCCCGCGGCCGCCCCTGCGCGCATGCGCCCCGCCCCTGGCCCCGCCCCCGATCTGTGGCTCCTCCCGCCCCGCCCTGGTCCCGCCCCTAGTCCCGCCCACCCGATCCGTGGCTCCGCCCGCCCCGCCCTGGCCCCGCCCGTGGCCCCGCCCCCTACCCATGGTTCCGCCCGCCCTGGTCCCGCCCCTAGTCCCGCCCACCAGGTCTATGGCCCCGCCCCGCTGCGTCCGCCACGCCCACGCCACGCCCCTTAGCCGCCGGTATCCGCGCCGCCCCGCCCAAATTTTTGCAGGCGGCCGGGGCCCCGGGCGCGCGGCGTGAAGTGGGGGCGTCAGGGGGCGAGGTCCCCCGGTCGCCGATCCCCGTCTTGGCCGGGCGGGCGCGCCGTGACTCATCCCTCAAGGGCGCGCTGGGCTCCGGGGGGGCCGGCACCCCACGCGGGCTCCGCTCGGCACGCGGCGGGTGCGCGCGTAGGTGAAGAGTCGGGGGGCTGGGCCTTGGAGCGCCCCGGGGTGACTCATTGGACCTGCCGGGCCGCGGGGGACGCCCGCCCGCCCCCGCCGGACTTGCCGGGTACCCGGAGCGCGGGCGGAGGGAGGAGGGGGGAGCCCGGGGCGCCGGCGGTGCTGCCGGGGGTGCTGCGGCACCCCAGGAGCGGCCAGGAAAGAAGACGCCGTGTCCGAGTCCAGGACGTGGGGGCCCCACAGGGCCCCGAGCAGCTGCTGGGCGAGGGACGCCCTGCGGGGGGCCGAGAGCGGACGCAGACGGGAATAGGCAATGCGGGGTGCAGGATGAAGGTGCCCGGAAAAGTGAAGGCAGCCGGCGTGCCTGGGCGCTGGAGGAGAGGTCACTCCCGCGCACGCCAAGATGATGAGGCGTTGAGGAAGAGAGGAAGTCATAAAAAAGCGCGGCAAATACTTGAAAAGGGAAAATGATGGTTGGGGCAGGGTCATGCAAAATGGAGACTTAAATCCAAGGTCATGACAAAGCACCTGAAGTTCATTGCCAGGACTGTGATGCTGCAGATACAAGACCCCGAACAGGATCCTCACCGCGGATGGGCTCAGTGGGGACATTAAAGACAGCGGTTCTATGAGATGCTTTGCCTTGGTGACAGAGGAAAAGTCATGAAACCTGTCGGTGCATTTCCAGTATGGACATGGCTTGCAAAATCAGCTTCTTTCTTTTTTTTAAGATTTATTTATTTATGCATACAACAGCTGGGGTACAGGCCAGAGATGTGGGGGGGGGCGGTGAGAGGATTCACCAGAGGCAGAGCGGGGAGCAGAACAGGCAGATCTATTGAAATACACTGCTGAGGGGAGCAGCAGGAAGACAGGAGAGGTCTGCGGCACCATGTGGGTAGCTCCCTGCCCAGCCTGGGATTGAACTTGTGCTCCAGAGGCTGCGGATTGCTTCATAGTGCAGTGCTTAACCCCTTGCACCACCAGGGAGGCTGAAAATCAACTTCTTGATTGAAAAGAATTGGGCAGATCTGTGGCAGGGCTGCTGAGGCTTGGAATGAGGAGCCCCAGTATGAAAACCCTCCTGTATCTCTACCTTTTTTCTTTGTCCGATCCTGTTTTCTCTTCCCTCCTGTACAATAAACTCAATCACGTGTATGCAGGAAGACCTGCATAGATAGAAACAATCCTTCTCAGCAGCCGGCACTCTCTTTAAGTGAAAGAGAAACTCAATTAAAAAGTAGGCTAGGAGTAGAATGGTCATTGCCACGGAGTGGTGGGATGATGTGGAATTCTAAGTTAGAAATCACTTAGAGGAGGGCCTCCCCGGTGGCGCAGCGGTTGAGCGCTGGGTTGCGAAGCTGCCCGCAGCCTCTGCAGCGCCAGTTCGATCCCCAGCTGCTCCCCGGCCAGTGGATGAGGGTCCCGCATGGCGCGCAGACCTCTCCTGCCGCCCGCTGCTCCCCTCAGCAGTGTACGTCGACAGTCTGCCTGTTCTGCTCCCCGCTCTGGCTCTGGTGAATTCTCTCTCCCTCCCGCGCTTCTGACTGTACCCAGTGCTTGTATAGATAAATAAATAAATATTTTTTAAAAAGTTTATCAAAAAAAAAAAAAGAAATCACTTACAGGAGTGGGAATTATTATTTCATGGTACAAAGTTTCTGCTGTGGGAGATGAAAAAGTCCTGGAAGCAGATGGTGCAAACAGTGTGAATGGACTTGGTGCCACCAAACTGTAGCTTACAAGTGGTTAAAATGGTATCTTATTTATTATGGATATTTTACTACAAGAAAACATTTTTAAAGTAAAAAAAAAATCAAATAACAAAAATGAAATGATTATTAACTCCAGGTAAAAATAAAGAATTTGACAAGAAACCACAGAGATAGCACACTACTTGGCTCTGCAGTGACAATATTTGCATAAACATCGTACTGTCAATATTGACAATAGATTCAGTCGCGATCAGTGGCAGCACTGTAGTGAGAGGAATGGGAGGTGGGAAGGGTGAAGATGTAGGAGAGAGTTAAGTATTTGTCATGGCAATGAGACAGTAGATTGCACCTTAAATGCATAGATCAAGAAATCTCATCAAGCACACTTTGTTCAGAAACATGGCGATAAATACCAGGGAGAGCAGCTGAACAGGTGGTTATGGGCGGTGTGGTCAAGGAATACATATTGAGATTTCAAGATCCAAGAGATGAAACAGAGGAGGCTGGGGTGACCCTGGAGTTGAAAAGACCCAACAGGCACGAGTGAAGGTCCTTTGAGGAGAATCAACAACAAAGGGTTAAGGATGGAAAAGATGACACTAGAAAACTGTATGTGTATGCTTCCTGGAGGTTGGGAAAGAGAATTAGGGTCAAGATAAGCACAAGTGACAATGACCCAAACTGGAGCCTCCCTGGTGGCGCAGGGGTTAAAGTCTCAGCGCTATCAACCTATCACCAGCCTCTGCGGCCTGATTTCGATCCCCACCAGGGAGCTACCCACACGGCACAGCAGACCTCTCCTGTCTGGCCCGCTGCTCCCCTCAGCAGTGTATTTCAGTCAGTCTGCCTGTTCTGTTCCCTCCTCTGTCTCTGGTGAATCCTCTCACCCCCACACCTCTGGCCTGCACCCCAGCTCTTGTATGCATAAATAAAAAATAAATTTTAAAAAATGAAAAAAGAAAAGAAAATGACCTGACTGTCACAAGAATAGAGGTCGCTTTGTAGTGGTGCAATGGCTCGGAATGGAAACTGGGGCTTAGGAGTATTTCCGAGTGGAGGTTGGGAGAGACCGCAACGCCCAGGCAGCAAAGCTGAGTGTCCCTGACGTGAGCTCTTGGATGAGCATCCTTGTGTGGGCGTGTGAGGAAGGAGGTTTGTAATGGAGGAGCGTTCTCTCTGGTTCCTCTGCAGGAAGGTGGACAAACAGGGCAGAGAGCATGGAGGAACCTGGGGAAAAAGAACTGAGCCTGGCCCTGGGGGGTTGAGCTTGTTTGGCGGCCCATACCCTCCAAGGCAGAGGGGATGCTAGTGAGGTCGCGATTTGTTCTTGGCAGGACTCAGCCACCAACTCTTAAAGCCTCATGGGCCTGGGATGCAAGAGGAGGCTGGACGGCGCTGGGGCTTGACTTACTCAGCTCCCCAAGACTCAGAGCCTCGGTCTTCTGCTGGAGCACCCCAAGGCCCAGAGTGCTGAGGGCCTGCTTGGGGGCACAGGACTGGCCGAGTCCTGATTCCGCCTGGAGCTTTTTCTACTCACAGTGTCTCTGGAGCGCTGGCCTTTCCAGCAGCAGTGACATGCCAAGGGGCGCACAGTAGCACCCCCAGAAGCCTTTGGAGTAAAGCTTTGCAGAAATCAATGCTTTAAAAATTGGCATATCTGAAAATGTCATTCTACCCTCATACTTGACTGAGGGTTCACCTGGGATGATGTGAAATTCTAAGTTAGAAGTCACTTCCCTCAGAGTAGTGAAGAGTTTACTCCCTTTTCTTCTGGCTTCCACTAATGCCGTTTTGATTCCTAATCCTTTGCCCACGCCTGCTATTTTGGGGAGATCTTAGAATCATCCTTATAACCTTAGAGTTCCAAAGAGCTCTAAGTCTTTTAAGTTTATAAGTTCATAAAAATTTTAAAGATGTTTCTTACCTGAACCTTTTCCCCCATTCATGTTGGTGCTTACTCCGTGAGCCCTTCTGTCTCGAGGCTCTTTGTCTTCCGTTCTGAGGATTTTTTTCTATTATTTCTTGATAATGTCTCATCCCCTCCATTTTTCCTGGACATTGGGCCTTTAGCATGGGTTCTCTGCTTCTTTCTTCTTTCCTATTTTCCCATC